GAGAGAGAGAGAGAGAGAGAGAGAGAGAGAGAGAGAGAGAGAGAGAGAGAGAGAGAGAGACAGACAAGAAGCTTCTCATCCTAATCGACCTTGCTCATTGACTTACCCTAACCGATCCTATCCGAGGTCCCGTGCATCCCCCCTTGCGACCCCCCCCTTTAAGACTTTCGGGTGGACGGGCGTGGGTGATGGAAGAGGAAGAAGGGTCGGGGGTGGTTGGCTATGGTGGACGGGTGTGGGTGACGGAGGAAGGAGGAGGGTTGGAGGCGATCGGCTATGGTGGACGGGTGTGGGTGACGGAGGAGGAAAAAGGGTTGGGGAGGTCCGGCTATGGGGGATGGACGTGGATGATGGAGGAGGAAGGAGGGTTGAAGGTGGTCGGCTATGGTGGACGGGTGTGGGTGATGAAGGAAGAAGAAGTGTTGGAGGTGGTTGGCTATGGTGGACGGGGTGTGGGCGATGGAGGAAGAAGAAGGGTTGGAGGTGGTTCGCTACGGTGGACGGGTGCGGGCAAAGGAGGAAGAGGAAGCGTTGGAGGTGGCTGGCTATGGTGGACGGGTGTGGGAATGGAGGAGGAAGAAGGGTTGGGGGTTCGTCGGCTATGGTGGACGGGTGTGGGTGATGGAGGAAAGAGAAGGGTTGGGGAGGTCCGACAATGGAGGATGGACGTGGGTGATGGAGGCGGAAGAAGGGTTGAAGGTGGTCGGCTATGGTGGACCGGTGTGGGTGGCGGAGGAAGAAGAAGGGTTGGGGGTGGTTGGCTATGGTGGACGGGTGCGGGCGATGGAGGAAGAGCAAGTGTTGGAGGTGGCTGGCTATGGTGGACGGTCGTAGGTGATGGAGGAGGAAGAAGGGTTGGGGGTGGTCGGCTATGGGGGCGGGTGTGGGTGGTGGAGGAAGAAGAAGGGTTGGGGGTGGTCGGCTATGGTGGACGGGTGTGGGTGATGGAGGAAGGAGAAGGGTTGGGGAGGTCCGGCTATGGAGGATGGACGTGGGTGATGGAGGAGAAAGAAGGGTTGAAGGTGGTCGGCTATGGTGGACGGGTCTGGGTGATGGAGGAAGAAGAAGGTTTGGAGGTGGTTGGCTATGGTGGACGGGTGTGGGTGATGGAGAAAGAAAAAGGGTTGGAGGTGGTCGGCTATGGTGGACGGGTGTGGGTGATGGAGGAAGAAGAAGGGTTGGAGGTGGTTGGCTATGGTGGACGGGTGTGGGTGATGGAGGAAGAAAAAGGGTTGGAGGTGGTCGACTAAGGTGAACGGGTGTGGG